CGTCACCTACTGCTCCATTACTTACCTGTACTAGAAATTTGGGCACAGTTCCGTACAGGGGGAGCACTTTGCCTTTTCGCTGCTTCCTATAGTCGTGTGGAGCCATCAAGTGGATAGAGAAATCAGTTGTACCAGCAAAGTTTATAGGTACTTGTAGAGACACCTGTCAACCCTTGAAACATTTTCACGACGATGGGAAGCACTGGAAGTGCAAAATGCTCCGCCTTCCTCCCATGACGAAACTGCCGAATTTTCAGTTTTTTTTTCTTTACACAGGAATGTTGTTCCTCCATTTTGGGAAAATTTACCCCATTTGCTATTTTTAAGGCATCTTGTCATTCGTGGTGAAAATGCGTCCCGTATATTACGAATAAGAGCCGCAGCAACTCGGGCCATGCGTGAGCATTTCTACCATGCTGGCTATACTGAAGTTTGTCCTCCAACGCTTGTACAAACACAGGTGAGTTCCAGGTTCCGACAAATTTTTGAGAAGTTAGAGCCGTTTTGCTCAACCAGCTTCTATTTCCTTTAGAACTTGGCGTCAATGTTATATTTTGATGGTGCTCTTTTATGCGAGCAGGGTGGCTATGTGGAATTTTCGTTGATGCCCTGGCATTTTGACCAGATAGTGGTCTTTGGATCTCTAAAACGAGGCTCGAAATCCGAGAGTTACTCTCTAGACTTGTCGCTCAGCGTTTCTGATGAAACGTTGGAAAAAACCGAAAGTTTCGAGTGAGGAAGGGTCTGGTAACCTGGGGGGGGGGTATGCTGACAAGAGCACTCGTAAGCGCTCTTGTCAGCATACTAAAACTGCATAGATGTGAACACTAGACAGCCTTGTCAACACAATATTTATAAGCCTCGTTATCACTTGACAAGCACCATGTAAACTCCTTCCAAACATGTCAGTATGACTGGTCAAATGAAAAAAAAGTGGAGAAATGGCGTTTCAATGACGTTTGAACCATTTTGCCAATCTCGACAGGAATGCACAGGGTATTTGACAAGAATTCACAGAGTTTGCATGATGAAACACGTCTGTGAAAGGCAAAAAACAAGACAAAGACAAAACTTCTGCACCACTTCTGGCCCCCCCCCCCCCGACTACCTCTCCGGTTATTAGTGCTCAAATCTAGGAATCTTTGTGCCACATTGAGGCTCTTGGGATGGCGGCTGGTTGAAACATAAGGCCATAAGTGAAAATTTCGACATATCAGCCTCGTCGAGAAAATGGAAACCATCAGAGCTGGATGGAAGTTTGTGAAAATACTAAAGAGAGGGAGTCCTTACTTTATCAAAGTCTTCAGTGGAAGTGTTTTTAGTCTGTTCTAAGAACTTTTTCTGAATTCAGGTCGAAGGTGGAGCAACACTATTTGCTCTGGACTTTTTCGGTGAGCAGTCGTATCTTACGCAGTCGTCTCAGTTATACCTCGAAACGTGCAACGCCTCACTTGGAGATGTTTACTGTATTGCACAGTCCTATCGGTAAAGGTTTACTAGGAGTGTTGATGTCTTCCCCGCATCAGACCCCCTAATTGGTTTCATTGCAGAGCTGAGAAATCACGAACCCGTCGCCATCTGGCCGAATATGCACACGTTGAAGCGGAATGTGCATTCATCACGTTTGATGAGTTGATGGATCGTATTGAGGACATCGTCTGTGATACGGTTGATCGTCTACTGTCGGATCCGTCTGTAAAGGCTCTCATCGATCACGTGAACCCGGTTAGTGCGCCTATTTGTTGCCTTTCTTACTTAGATTTAGTTCAAAGTTTCCTGCTGTGGTATGACCCTCTCCCCTTCAGTACTACGCGCTCTAATTTTTTTAGGGTTTTCTTCATGCTCTTTCTGTTACCCAAAAAAAACTTTTGCCGTCGAGGGGTGGAGAGGGGCTCTTGAAATAAGGAAAACAGAAGAGAAGTGCCAACAATCGAAGCGTTCTTCTCAGGCGCAAATACGACTTCCTGTCTCCTAGTGACCATATACGACCCCCTCTCGTGGGAACGTACGCCA